CAACTTCCTCAGATAACTCATTCCACAGCATAGGAATGGCACTCAACTTCATACATTATGTATTTAATCATTTCATTTATTCTTGCTACATTTCCAAATAATCTGACAGTTCTGCTCTTTGCTTCATGTCAGTCTCTTTTACGGTACAGAAAAGTCAAGGTGGGCAAGACAAACTTCTTTTAAGTTGCATACTATATACCAAACACTTCCTTAAGTTTTCTCATTTTCCTCACACAACTCCGTGGGAAAGGTATCAAATTCTTCCATTTTACAGCAGAAGAATTCAGGTTCACAGAGAGTAAATAAATTTTCCAGAGTTATACATAGATCTTGTAAGAGGCAGGAATGGAGGTTCCAACTCTTGCCCTCTCCCCACAATAGATACAGAGCAGCCTCCCTTCTGGAAGATGGGCTACTAAGGCTGGAGAAATGGTTGGATCACACTCCCCTGCCATTGTGGCCCCTTGAGTACTCACTCAACAACCCCTCTGGGTGATGAAGATGACAGAGGAGATGAAATCCCGCCCCTTGTGCCAAGGGACCTGGATATGGGACCAAATCTGTTGGCTGATCCCTGAGGCAGTGAGTGGAGCTTGTACAGAAGCTCGGGCTTTTAAACAGCTAGGAAGGTGACCTGGGTGATGAAAATAAACATTCATCAAACTCATTCTATATCATAGTAATTTCATATCTCATTTCATTTAATCTCAAAAACAAACTTTCAGGATAGAGATTACTATCCTCTTCATAACCTAGAGCTCAAGCCAATAGATTCAGGTTAGTAATATTGTAAATGACAGACCAGAAACTCTAAACCTGGACTTGTTCTAAAACCTGACCTTTTCTCTCTGCTTCCTGTGGCCTCACGGGCTTTGAATGCTTTCTCTATCTAACCTCCCAGTAGACTGGCAATTACTCCACCCCAGTGTATTCTTCAAACATTTATAATTAACCATATTGTTTTTTAATAATAAAAATCGGTAAGATTTTAAAACACTTGCATTGCAAGAAAATAAAACAAAATATAAAATGGGAAGGAAAATCATTCACATATACTATAGACATTGAGTTAATATTCATGATAAATGAGAAAGTGACCATATGGTTTGACATGCTCCCAATTTATGTCTGTTGTTTAACAGTGCAACCTTCACTCTCAAAAGTGCCCAGTTCAAACAATAAATTATATGGTCATCCTCAATATAAATAATTCCTTTTGAATCGTAAGAGATGGGTAAGGGGTAACTTGTAATTTTCATAAAAAGCTGTGGAAGTGCCCAACAAATCAATAAAAAGATAACTCAAACACAATAATGAAAGAAATACAAATAAAAATCCTAAGATTTCATAAGAAAAAAAAGAAAAGATGCAGATTAGCATGTTGTCCTTTTTCTTTTTGCTGAGTAATAGATATGTATAGCTGTATATTTATATTGCGCCTATATATAGTGCATGTATTTGCACAAAAGTACTTATATATGCTAGTACCATTATATTGGGATAAAAACACTTGTAGAATATATTAACACTCTATTAAGAACATTTATCTTAGGAGGGCAAACAGCAGTTTCACCTCTATTTATACATTTCTCTATGATTTGATGTCCTAATGTACATATATATATATCAATTTTATAAATCAGAAAATTGAAAGACAATTTTTAAAGCACAAGAAACATTTTGTTATGGTGTAACTCATACAAATAATGTTATAGATCTATTCACTTAGAACAGCATTCACTATTAAGCAATAAAAAGCAGGTTGTACATTATGTACAATATGATCCTATTTCTTGTTGACAATACACTTATGTATATGAGTAAGTACATATCATAAAGCAAATGTGTCTAAAAGATATGACCCAAAATACAAAATATGCACAAACACGCACACACCCACACACACACACAGATACCCACTCCCTCAGAAACACTCACACTGGCGGCTTTCTCTTCATCTGAGACAGGGGTGGAACTTCCTGTCAAGAGCTCAGAGAATTAAACAGTATCTGATTCTGCAGGAAGGCCTGCCTGTGCCATTCAAGCCTCCAGCAAGCCCTGTTTGGTGGGTCAGAACAGAGGCCCCTCCCTCCCCAAATCCTTGTATAGCCTCCTCCCAGAGATATCGAGGGATGTAGTTCTGACTCTGACCAGCAGATGGCGATTATCTCTATATACAACCTTTGCTGCAATAGAAAAGCCTTGATTTCTATAAGAAACATTAGTAATCGTACTTTTTAATAACAGATTATGAAACAGTAAGTACACTATGATACAAGATATTTGAAAACTTTTGAATGTATAGGAAAAGAATTGAAATAGTGTATTCTTTTTATTTGCTGATGACGACTCCCAAATCTGTACTTTTCTTGTTAATTCATTCATTCAGGAAATATTTATTCAGAGAAACATATTTTTATCTGAGCTGTGTTACATTTCTATACAAAATTTTCTCACAGATAAAGGAGTGACTTGGGGATTATCTGGCTAAATTTTATGTTTATCTCCTGCCTCTGTTTTTTGTCTATCTACTTGTCCCATCTTGTCAAGCTGGGTTTTTCATCCATGGGTTTGTGGAAATTTGTGGTCAACTTATTAAAAGGGTTTCCACTGAATATAGCTGACTAAGACCTACAAAATCTTACTGAAGAGTCAGTTTAATGCAACTAAATTGGACAAATATTTGTTGAGATCTAATCATGATCTGAGCATAATTCTCATAAAAGAAAGGGTTTCTATATAGCCCTTTCTGACATAACATAGTGGAAGATTTCTAGGAGATATTTGGGCTTACCTCACCGCTGGAAGGGTGACCTATGCAATTTAGAATTCCTGTTGTTCTTTATGCCCAGTGTCTTCTCCTAAAAGAGAACTGTTTTTCTGCTTCAAGTCAGAGTTCCCTTCCCAACGGCACAGGAAATTCTAGAGGGGAGTGGAGGGAGGTAAAAGTAAATAACATTTTACATGCACTTCTTATGTTCCATGTGTTTTCCTGTCTTCTTATTTTACTTTCTAAATGTTAACATTGGAGAATCATTTTTCCTTTGTGCCTTAAAAGGCAAGACACTCATGGTGGGGGGGCGGGGAAGCCTTCTTTGGCATGGCTTCTGGAGAGTCCAGCTAAGTTGAGAGAACTTTGGGAGTCCTAACAGACCAAACTCAGTATCTCTGTGACAACTTTGGGTAAATTCCTTTACCTCTTTTGACCTTACTTATCTGAATTCTACTTGCCCTGCTTTTCAATCATCCAGGATCATGAAGGTTAAAAATGAGCTGTATATTATAATCAAGTGTCCCCAGCTGTAGGGAACCAATATATGGTATCTTAGAGCTAATTGCTGCCAAAGGCACAGGCCTTAGACTCATTACCATGAGTGCCATTCCAGCTTTAGGAGAAGAATGTGAAAATACTTTAAATTCCCGTGAATTGAAGTTTTTTTATTATCATTTTACTGCAAAATAGGACCCAGTTAAGCATTCAGAGTTCATTCAAGTCCCCATCCATCTGAAGTATGTCTTCTGCTTTAAGAGATATAATCTCATCGTATCTCTTCTAAACTGGAGGCCCCCTTTCTGTATTCAAGTGATAACGGAGTAAGTAGGTACACCTCTGTCCCTTCTCACCAGCACCAGAATTTAAACTGCAGACCAGGTTGGTTCTTCAAAATAGACCTCCAGTCCCATAAAACTATACATTTGTGTAATGAGATTATCATTGATCAAGACTTTGGCAACTGGCTTCACAACCAGTTTATAATCCTCAAAAAATATACCAGGGTTATTATTTTATAGTCACAGCCAATACACTCAGGTTTTGCTTGATTTATTTCTTAACTTTTTGTCTAGTATAATCCCAACTCAAAGCCAAAAAACATTTTCTATATCCTGAATATTTCCAAATAAATATATCCTGTATTACTCTATATCCATATATGATATTCTGTTATATAAAACAGAAGATCTATAGTCTTATTTTTTTATATTTTTCTTTTGTAGAGGCTTGTTTTAGAAAGTTTCACTCCCAAAGTTTTTAAGGGCATCTTTGCACATTGTTGCCATGTAACAAGAGAAAGAAGACAGAAGAACACAGAGCTAGGGCGCCTGGGTGGCTCAGTCGGTTAAGCGACTGCCTTTGGCTCAGGTCATGATCCTGGAGTCCCGGGATCGAGTCCCGCATCGGGCTCCCTGCTCAGCAGGGAGTCTGCTTCTCCCTCTGACCCTCCCTCCTCTCATGTGCTCTCTCTCTCTCTCTCAAATAAATAAATAAAATCTTACAAAAAAAAAGAAGAAGAACACGGAGCTAAGTGATAGGCACAATAAAATAATAAATGATAGGATGTAAAATAGGGAGTTCTTAACAATGACATCTACCTCACTTATTTTTCCAGGTGACAAAATGGAGCCCAGAGAAGTTCAATGACTTGCCCAAAATAAGACACCTGTTGAATGAAAGAGAAAGGACTAGGACCTACATATCAGAAAAAGCATATGTATTTCAATTTTGTTACACACGGACACAAAAAGAAAATATCCCCTGGTTTATAAATGTGGGATTTGCAGCTAAGTCTCTGTTGTATATTGGAAGAAACATGGAGCTGAGAGTCAGAAGGACACTTGTTCTCATCTCTATTTACCCACTTAGTGAATGTGTGTCTCCAAACAAGGTACTTCATTTTTTCTGTTCATTTTCTTCTCCTAATGGAGGAGACAGTTACCCACATCAGAGTTATGAGTGATGAATAAATTAGGTAAAATACATAAGGGAGAAATCACAGAGCCACGCACACTGCAGATGCTCAGAGTTCTCTGGCTTCCCTAGTAGGCAAAAACAAACAAACAAACAAAACAAAAAAGCATCCACCTGAAATCCTGCTATGGACCAGAGTGGGGCCTGCCTAAAAGAAGCCCTCCCTCTCAAAAGACACTCCATATTCTCCAGGTGTGGAACCTGCATTTGTACTATCCTGAGAGTGAGTATCCCCTTAAATTGTGTGCTCTAGGAGCCTCACGTGCCTCACCTACCTCGCCTTCGTCCTGGCCCTGGCTGAGAGGAACAGTAACAACAATAATGGCTAAAATTAACTGAGCACTCACTATGTGCTAGTCATTAGGCCAAAACTGTTCCATGTGTTATCTATTTAATTCTTCCCTACCACCATGTAGAATAGGTAGTACTATTATGTTCTGTTTAGAGATAAAACAGACACTTAGACTATTAAGTAACTTGTGCAAGTTCACACAATCAGTTATTGGCAAAGTTATGGTGATGGACTGTGTGTATTTAAAATCCATGTTACTAACAATTTGCAGACAGCATTACTTTGTTATGAAAATGAAGTTGAAAGAAGATAAGTGACTTGAATACAACTGCAACTCAGTGACCTGAATCTCAATGCAAATACTTCTCAAACAGACGGGCTCTTATGCTTTGTTCTCCTGTAGCATCTTGTCTTTCCAGGACTCAGTGGGAAACCTCTAAAATTAATGTGGAGAATGAAACAACAGGAAAGGGCTGGATTATTTTCTTAGTGTGTCATCTGTATCATGCACATATGGTAACTAATGCAACAATCTTTTGTATTGATGATTGTGGGCTGAAATGTGCACGTTATGCTAAGACAACTAAGCAAGGAGTCACATGAATTAACTGGTTCCTGAGATGGTGTAGGGTTGAGGCAGAAGTATTGGTGTTATTGGGGCACCTGGGTGGCTCAGTCGTTAAGCGTCTGCCTTCAGCTCAGATCATGATCCCAGGGTCCTGGTCTTCGGCTCAGGCCATGATCCCAGGGTCCTGGGATCGAGCCCCGCATCCGGCTCCCTGCTCAGCGGGAAGCCTGCTTCTGCCTCTCCCACTCCCCCTGCTTGTGTTCCCTCTCTCACTGTGTCTCTCTCTGTCAAATAAATAAAATCCTAAAAAAAAAAAAGAAGTATCGGTGTTGCAATTTGAGAAGGTGAAATAAGAAGAATGAACATAACATTTATATAATTTCTACTATATGGGATAAACATTATTATATTTCGTCTCCTGTATTCTTAATAACCACCATTCAAGGTAGCTAGAATTATTGTCATTAAGCAGATGAAGACTATAGATTCATAAGTTAAGTAACTTGCCCCTAGTCTCCAGGCTTGTAAGTGACAGAGGAGGGACTCAAAACCTATACTGTACCTTAGGCCCAAGATCTTTCCAAATTAACCTGCAGCCTCCTAGGCTTTGAATCTAATTATTCAGGGCACTGGAATTTACCTAGAGATGGTCCAGGACAGTGAAGAATGCCCACAGTGACTTTTCTTTTTTTTTAAGATTTCATTTATTTATTTGAGAGAGAGAGAGGGAGAGAGAGCACGAGCAGGGGGAGCAGCAGAGGGAGGGGGAGAAGCAGGCTCCCTGCTGAGCAGGAAGCCGGATGCAGGACTTGATCCCAGGACCCCAGGATCATGACCTGAGCCAAAGGTAGATGCTTAACCAACTGAGCCACCCAGGTGCCCCCACCAGTGCATTTTTAAACGCCTGCTATATTGCCTTATAAATAAAAAAAATTATAAATAATAATGGAGATAAATGGAAATTTATAAATACTAAGAGGCAGAAATCTCAGAGGAATACTACTGGCAATAAAATGTGAAAAAATTCAACTACAATTAATTATAGAAATGAAAATAAAAGAGAATATTTCAGAATATTATGGATATAATTTCAGAACATTATGGATATATGATCCCATTTCAACAAAGGAATATAAAATTACATGTGTATCTGTATAATCTGTTGATATATTTAAGTTAATAAGTAATTAGCAAGGAAAGCATCTGGAAGGACACATAGCCTATTAGCAACAGTGGTTTTATGGAATAAAAGGTTGTGAGATAAGAGACATAGAGGTTAAATTTTGCCTTCAAATAATATATTGCTATATTGTTTCATTTTATTTCAAGAAGCACATATTGATCTCATAATGTGAAAAATAATTGTATTGATACTTTCAACACAGAAAACAGCTGGTTTTAAACTGAATCAAAAAACTGATCATGAAGAATATATGTATTGATATTGAAAGGTGCTCACAATATACTTTACAATGGGAAAATCTAATTATAAACTATACAGTAAGATCCTATTATTTAAAAATAAACCAATATATGTGTAAAGTATGTTAAAATCTATAACCCCAAATATTTACACACAAACATACACATCTCTTTTTTTTGTTTTAATTACAGTTCGTTAACATACAGTGTTATATTAGTTTCAGTTATACGATGTAGTGATTCAGCAATTCCATAGAAGACCCAGTGCTCATCACAAGTGCACTCCTTAATCCCCATCACCTATTTAACCCATTCCCCCACCCACCTCCCCTCTGGTAACCATCAGTTCTCTGTAATTAAGAGTCTGTTTCTCCATTTGCCTCTCTCTTTTTTTCTTTGCTCATTTGTTTTGTTTCTTAAATGCCAAATATGAATGAAATCATATGGTATTTGTCTTTCTCTGACTGACTTATTTTGCTTAGCATTATAGTCTTTAGCTCCAACCATGTCATTACAAATGGCAAGATTTCATTTTTTGTGACTGAGTAATAGTCCATCATATATATATATATATATATATATATATATATATATATATATATGCCACTTCTTCATCCCTTCACCTATTGATGGACACTTGGGCTGCTTCCATAATTTGACTATTGTAAATAATTCTTCAATAAACATCAGTATGTTTGTACCAATGTACAAACACGTATCCCTTTGAATTAATGTTTTTGTATTTGGTGGGTAAAAACCCCATAGTGCGATTACTGGATTGTGTTGTAGTTCCATTTTTAACATTTTGAGGAAACTCCATACTATTTTCCACAGCAGCTGCACCAGTTTGCAATTCCACCAACTGTGCAGGAGGGTTCCTTTTTCACCTCATCCTCGCCAACACCTGTTGTTTCTTGTGTTACTGATTTTAGCCCTTCTCGCAGGTGTGAGGTGATATGTCATTGTAGTTTTGATTTGCATTTCCCTGATGCTGAGTGATGTTGAGCATCTTTTCATGTGTCTGTTGGTCACTTGGATGTCTTCTTTGGAGAAATGTCTCTTTGTGTCTTCTGCCCATTTTTTAATTGGATTATTTGCTTTTTGGGTATTGAGTTGTAAAAGTTCTTCATGTATTTTAGATACTAGTCCTTTATCAAATATGTCATTTGCAAATATCTTCTCCCATTCCTTGGGCTGCCTTTTAGTTTTGTTGATTGTTTCCTTCGCTGTGCAAAAGCTTTTTATTTTGATGTAGTCCCAATGGTTTATTTTTGCTTTTATTTCCCTTGCCTCAAGAGACCTATCTAGAAAAGATGTTACACTGATGTCAAAGATATTACTGCCTATGCCCTCTTCTAGGGTTTTTATGGACTCAGGTCTCATATTTAGGTCTTTAATCCATTTAAAGTTTATTTTTGTGAATGGTGTAAGAAAGTGGTCCAGTTTCATTCTTTTGCATTGTAGCTGACTAGTTTTCCTAACACAATTTGTTAAAGAGACTGTCTTTTTCCCACTGGATACTCTTTCCTACTTCATCAAAGATTAATTGACTGTATAATTGTGAGTTTATTTCTGGGCTCTCTATTCTGTTCCACTAATCTATGAGTCTATTTTTGTGTCAGTACCATACTGTTTTGATGATTATAGCTTTGCAATATAACGTGAAGTCTGGAATTGTGATGTCTCCAGCTTTACTTTTCTTTTTCAAAACTGCTTTAACTATGTAAGTCTTTGTGTATCCATATAAATTTTAGGATTCTTTGTTCTAGCTCTGCAAAAAAAATGTTATTATTTTGATAAGGATTGCATTAAATCTGTATATTGCTTTGGGTAGTGTATACATTTAATAATATCTGTTCTTCCAATCCATGAGCATGGAATGCCTTTCCATTTCAATGTTTTGTGGTTTTCAGACTAGTTTTTTCCCGTCTTGAGTTAAATTTATTCCTGGGTATCTTAATATTTTTGGTGCGATTGTAAGTGGGATTTTTTTCTTAATTTCTCTTTCTGCTGCTTCATTATTAGTGTATAGAAATGCAGCAGATTTCTGCGTGTTGATTTTGTATCCTGCAACTTTACTGAATTCATTTATCAGTTCTAGCAGTTGTTTTTTTTTTGTGGAGTCTTTCAAGTTTTCTATATATAATATTATATCATGTGCAAATAGTGAAAGTTTTACTTCTCCCTTACCAATCTGGAAGCCTTTTATATCTTTGTGTTGTCTTAATGCTGTGGCTAGGACTTCCAGTACTATGTTGAATACAAGTGGTGAGAGTAGACATCCTTGTCCTGTTCCTGACTACAGGGAGAAACCCCTCAGTTTTTTCCCATTGACTATGATACTGTGAATTTTTCATATATGGCCTTTATTATTTTGAGGTACATTCCCTCTAGACCTACCTTGTTGAGAGTTTTTATCATGAATGGACGCTGTACTTTGTCAAATGCTTTTTCTGCATCTATTGAAATGATCATATGGTTTTACCCTTTCTCTTATTGATGTGATGTATCATGTTGACTGATTTGCCAATATTGAACCACCCTTGCATCCCAGGAATAAATCCCACTTGATCATGGTGAATGATTTTTTTCATGTATTATTGGGTTTGGTTGGCTAATATTTTACAGGGAATTTTTGCATCCATGTTCATCAGAGATATTGGCTTGTGGTAGTCTCTCTCTCTCTTTCTCTCTCTCTCTCTCTCTCTCTGTGTGTGTGTGTGTGTGTGTGTGTGTGTGTGTGTGTGTGTGATGTCTTGATCTGGTTTTGGTGTCTGGGTGATACTGGACTCATAGAATTAATTTGGGAGTTTTCCTTCCTCTTCTATTTTTGGAAGAGTTTGAGAAGATTAGGTATTAATTCTTCTTTAAATGCTTGGTAGAATTCACCTGTGAAGCTATCTGGTCCTGTACTTTTTTGTTTGTTGTGATTTTTCTTGATTACTGATTTAATCTCCTTGCTGGTAACTGGTCTGTTCAATTTTCTATTTCTTACTACTTCAGTTTTGGTAGATTATATATTTCTAAGAATTTATCCTTTTCTTCTA